CTAGGGGTGCCCCAAAAGGTAGGAAGCAAAAGGCTACTCAATGTACTATATGAGTCAGGGATGGGACAGGTAATTCATTCCTACACACTCACACAAGAAAGGCTTAACATAAAACACTCCAAAGTATACATTAACAGAAGTGGATTCAGTAATTTAACTTACAACTACTGTTAACATTTTCTGGGAGGAGAGCTTTATCAAAATATAAAGCAATCTGTACAATTGCTGATTATGTATTTTAGGTTTCATCTCAACTGTGCATTTGATCCATCCCATACCACTGAAGTAGGCGGCATAAAGGATAGAATTGAAGTCAAGGAGATCTGAGTTCAAATCCTGCCTCAGGCACTGTTACTACCTGTGTGACCTTAGGCAAGTCACTTAATTTCTCTCAGTCTCAGTTTCTTTGTGTGAAGTGGGGATAATAATGGCACCTATCTAGTAGGGCTGGGAGGATACAATGAGATAACGTATGGGTAAAATACTTTGTACATCTTAAAGCTGGTTTCTTCTGAGACTGTAGCCATTTTAACTGGCTAAAAGACGCTTTTATATACCATCTTTTATACATGTATACATTTTTGATGTCAATTTCTGTTTTCCATAGCATGATGGCTTTCCTTTTGTGAATAAAATTTAAGAACAGCTTTTAACCAGATGCCACTATCCTTAATCCTTTAAGCTATGTGAATGAAGAGCTCTCAAAACGCAGAGATGTAGCAGAAGAAATCAAAACCGTGTGGTAATAGGATGTGGTACCTTTAATCACCGTCATCCTGTCTGCTACTGGAGTTATTGTCCCAAGGATGCTTTCAGCGAGCCTACCAAAGCTTGCACCACAATACTTTGTATTCAGTTATAAATAAGCAGTTAATTTATCTACCTGTGTAATAATTTGTGAAACATTCAATATAAGAGTAATCTCTGGATGGCAACTTGCCCCAGGACCATCTCTATCAAAACTCCGCTGAAAAATGAGGAGAATGAGATGATCAGTGAATGACAGCAGTGAGCATTCATGTTATGTTTCAAATGCCAAATCCAGGCAGAGTCTGCTTAAGCTCTGTCCTGAGCTTTTCCTCTTCTCCCTCTAAACTATTTCAGTTGGTGATTTCATCAGTGCCTATGGAGTCAATGATCACTTCTATGCTATTGATTCTTATTTATTCAGTCCTGGCCTCTCTTGACCTTCAGTCTCACATCTAATGGACATCTTGAATCAGATGCCCAGTAGACATCTTGGGCTCACCATGTCCAAAACTGAACTCCTCTCTCCCCTCAAACGACACCCTTTCCCAAACTTCTTTGGTACTGTGGAGAGGACCAGCATCCTCTCAGTCACCCAGGCTCCCAAACTAGGTGTCATCCTTGACTCCTTACTCTTTCTAACCCACCCACCCCATGTCTGGTCTATTGCCAAGGACCGTTTGATGACTTATTGATGATTGTATTGACCAAAGGACGACTACCTTTGTAACATCTCTGGTATATGCCTCCTTCTCTCCTCTGATGTGGCCAACACTCTGGTGCAAGTCAACAAGTTAATAAGCATTTATTAAATGCTTATTGTATAGTCAGGCATGGTGCTAAGTGTCAAGGATGCAAATGCAAGCCAAAAGAAAGATAGTTCTCAAAGAACTTATATTCTAATGGGGGAAGGCAACATCCAAAAAGAAGGTAGAAGAGGGAGGGGCAGAGCAAGTGCCTTGTGGGGCTATGGTGGTCAAAGGAGCCCAGAGAGTAGAGCCCAGAAATGAATAGGGAAGTTCTGGAGAGGGTTGGGGGATATGGGGGGCAAGGAGAATGGGGGCTGGAATATAACGAATTCTCTTATGGACATGTCATGTGATTTGGGATTGGAGTTCAGAAGAGAGTGACTAGGACCAGATATAAAGATCTGAGATGATAATTATGCCCATGGGAGCTGATTAGGTAACCAAGTGAGAAGGCATAGGGAGAAAAAAAATGAGGGCCTAGTTCAGAGCCCTGAAAGGGGCACACACCAAGTCACTGAGTAAGACTGAGGGAGCCTGGGGTGTAGCCCTCATGACCTTATTCTTGGACTATTGCAATAGCCTCCTGGTTGATCTCCCTACTTGAAGTCTCTCCTCACTCCAAACCATCTTCTCAGCTGTCAAAGTGATCTTTCTAAAATGCAGGTCTGACTATGTCACTCCGTCCCTCCATTCAGTCTACTCCAGTGGCTCCCTGTTGCCTTTGGGATCAAATGGAACTTCCTCTGTTTGGTTTTTAAAGCCCTTCGTAACATGCCCCCTTCCTACCTTTCCAGTCTTCTCACACCATTCCACTCTCTAGTGACATTGACCTCCTTGCTGTTCCTTCTACATGACAGTCTCCTGAGTCTGTAGTTACCCTGGCTGTTCCCCATGCTTGACGTTCTTTCCTTCCTCACCTCCATGCTTCCTTCAAGTCTCAGCTAAAATCCAGTCTTCCCCAAGAAGTCTTTCCCAGGTCGCCTTCATTCTACTGCCATCCATCTGAGATTATCTCTTGTTTAGCTGTTTTTCAGTTGTGACTGACTCTTCATAACCCCATTTGGGGTTTTCTTGGTAAAGATACTAGAGTGGTTTGCCTATTTCCTCCTCCAGCTCATTTTACAGATGAGGAAACTGAGGCCAAAAGAGTTAAGTGACTTGTCCAGGGTCACACAGCTACTTAATATCTGAGGCTGGATTTGAACTCATGACTATGAGTCATGATTTCAAGCTCAGTACTCTGTCCACTAAGCTACCTGGCTGCCCCACTATGCCACCAGTGGCTGATAAGAAAAAAAAAAAGAAACAGTCCATGCTCTCAAGGAGCTTACATTCAATTGAGAAAATTAAGGACTAATTAAGGCAAACAATAATCAGCACTGGAGAAGTGTCCTAGAAAGCATATGTCAAACCTATCAGACAAGCACCTCAGGTTGAACCAGTGGATTTTTTCAACCCACAGAGGGTTCTGGCTTACTCTTTTACATCAGTCTCCTAGTTGGGGTAGTTGCGGTGGTGATCGCCTGACTGTCATCCAAGTGAAAAGGGATATGAGTCCAGTGTAATGAATGAGATCATTTCATTCAGTGGTAGGGAACCTGGTGTCAGCAATGATCTCATTCACTATATATAGTGGGGTCATTTTTTGACTGAAAGCAGTTGGGCCATAATTTTGCATTTACAGTCTTAGGGTCTCTTGCATTGGAATCAAGGGGCTATTGAAGAAATTCTGCTCAGTTATTTTGCTCAAGGGGAAGAGTCAGGCTGTATTTTGGCTTCCTCAGATCACAGAATTTCAGAGCAGTGGAGAAAAGTTCATTAGACACAAGGTCCTGAGGCTAAGCACTTCCCTATATGGCCGCTCTAGGGAAGAAAGGGAAGTGGATTCATTTTTAGCCCTGGAAGCACATTCTAGGGATGGGGTCTGAGAGGGGAACATAGATTTGAAGTTTCCTGTACGTGACTGGGAAGGCAAATTAGCCTATGGTGTCATCTTAGGTCAGTCACCTCCTGCTTTAAGAAGGGGAAGAGAGGCACTCAGAAACTCCAAGGAAAAAGGGAAGTTGATTTGACCAGAAACTGATCAGAAGCCCTACTTCCTCAAGGGATGGAAAGATTTTCATTGTCTAAAGAGGACAGTCAACTGATGACTTTTCTTCTCTAGGTATTTGAGAAGAGACATTGACCAGTTAGAGCATAGTCAGCCATGAGCAAACAAGATGGGGAAGACAGTGGAACAAAATGCCATGGGATGCCTGCTTGAAGGAATTGGGAATGTTGAACTGGAAGAAGAGGAGCCTTGGGGGTTGGGCTCAACAGACTGACCGGTCAAATACTATCTCTGATGCTGACTACCTGGGGGACTTTGGGCAAGCCATTTAACCCCTCTGGGCCTCGGTTTCCTCATCTGTAAAAGGAGGGGACTGGATTAAATGGTCTTTGAGGTCCCTGGAGCTCTTGGTCTATGATTTCAGGACCCTGTCACTTTCCAAGGTGACCTAGCAGGATGTTTTGCTTTTACATTGAGCCCAAATCTGACTCTGTCATTTCTACCCTATTATTCCTCATTCTGTCCTCTGGACTCAGCCTCTTTCCCAGGATAGCCCTTCAAATACTTAATTAATGGCTTAATAAATTCTTTTTCATCCATTCCTTTATTTATTCAGAGAAAACTGTCCTGTCCCTCTTAAGTGTCCTCTTCTGAAGTCTAAGTGTATCTGTTGCCTTAAGGTGTTCCTTACGGGTCATGGCCTCTGGTTCCCTTCAGAGTTTGGTACTCAGAACTCCAGACTGTTCTTGGCTTTGGGTCACACAGCCAGGATACAGCAGTCATGGAACTGGAAGCCAGGTCTTTCTGACTTTGAGACCAGTTCTCCATCTGCTACACCGAGCTGTCTTTGCTTGCTGATATCCTTCCTAAAATGGATCTCTGCAAATCAGATGTTGGTGGGGTGGGGAAGCTGCCGCCACATGTGGCCTTCTAGGTCCTTGGGTGGGGCCTTTTGACTGAGTCCAGGTTTTACAGATCAAATCCTTTCATTAAGGGGATTTGTTCTGTGAAGTTTGGATTCAGTCAAAGGACTGCATTTAGGACCTAGAGGGCCAGAGGTTCCCCACCCCTGGGTCCCCTTCCATATTCTGGCTGTTATGTTTCTTTTAATGACGCCCAAGATTTCATTAGGAAATTTGAGAGGCAATACAACTGACTAACTGAGCTGGACTCACAGTTAGGAAGACCCGGGTGTAAGTTCCATACTCTGGTACATGCTGGCTGTGTGACCCTGGGAAAGTCACCTAACCAGTGTTCTTGGCAACTCTCTAAAGAAGGGGCCAATTTACATTGGTAGAGGGAGTTTCTCCTACATCCATGAAGTCACAGGTGCAGTCTCTGTTCCTCCCCCTTGGCCTGACTGCCTTTTGAGGGGCCTTCCAACTCTAACACGATGAGTGATATCCTCCAGCTGCCATTGGCCAATGGGGAGTGTTATTAGAATGGCAGTTTACCTTGGATACAGAACTTCAGCTCCTTGGGGTCCGTGATCGTTGTTCTCCGAGAGTTCCCTGAACTCTTCTTCTCTTCTAGGGACATGCCCCGCTGCCTCTTGTCCTCTCCCCAGAGGTTGGTGCCTCCATATGCACTGGGGATGTTGAGTATGGCGATGCTCTCAAGCAAGGTACCCCCGAGGTCCAGGGTGATGCCGTCACACTGTGGGGCAGATGGACAAAGTCAGGGACTGGCTGCTTTGGGAAATTCAGCTTCAAAGGTGCAGATGGATTATGAGATCATATTATCTGTATTCTGCACACGTGCATGTGTGGACACCTACACACACACACACACCTAGGCACTGAGGGTAGACTGGGTATTCAGGTCAACTTTCAGAGATGGAATGTCCCTGTTAACAGAGGCAATGTTATGCTATGGCATAAGGAACACTCGCCTAGGAGTCAAGAGACTTCAGCTCTCACCTCGTTTCTGATAGTTACTAGCCATGGGATGGGGGCACAGTGGATAGAGCACTGGGCTTGGAATGAGGAAGACTCATCTTCCTGAGTTCAAATCTGGCCTCAAATATTTACTAGCTGTGTGACCCTGCGTAAGTCACTTAACCTTGGTGGCCTCAGTTTCTTCTTCTGTGAAATGAGTTAGAGAAGCAAGTGGCAAACCACTCCCATATCTTTGCCATGAGAACCCCAAATGGTGTCATGCCTGAATGCACTGGACATGACTAAAATGACTGAATGACAACAATAAAGCCGCATGATTTTGAATGAGTTCCTTAGCCTTTTGCAATTTTATAAGCTCATGGATCTAGAGGGACCTCAGAGGCCCTCCAGTCTACTTCTCTTATTTATAGATGAGGAAACTGAGGCCCAGAGAGATTTAGCAATTTGCTGAAGGTCACACATAGGAAGATGGGTGTTGGCCTGGAAGGGACTGCACAGGGTCATCTGATCCAACTCCCTCATTTTACAGAGGAAGAAACTGAGACCTGAGACTTGGAAAGGTTAAGTGATTTGCTTCAGATCTTATAGGGCAAGTATAGCTTTTCTGCTATACTTTTAATTTCTTCATTTATCAGAAAGAGTTAGTAACACCTACTGTCTTGATCTTGCAGGGGTAATTGTGTCGGGCATGGCATAGTGAAAAATGGGCTAACCCTGGAATCCCAGGACAGAAGTTCTAATCTCAGCTCTGTTGCTAGGACCTGCCTGCCCTCCAGCAAGTCACTGGCCCTCTTGACCTCAGTTTCCTCATCTGTAAAATGAAGTGGTTGGTCCAAATGGCCTTTGAGGTCTCTTTCAGCTCTAGACCCAGGATATTGTGAGCCTATTAGATGATAGAATGTAATGGGGCTTCTTGAAGTGCTGGACAACTTAAGGCATTATCATTACGGTATTCGTTTTCAATTTTGTGGCGTTGAGAAGATAATGAGTTTGCTGAGCTCCTTGTGAGTGAGCCAACAGCCCCTAGAGAAAGACAAGGATATGAGATGATAAAACAGCAAATCTATGAGAAAAGCCTACTTGCTTACTGAAATGGCCCCGCCAGGATCCAGATTCTAGGGTGAAGGGCCATCTCCCAGAAAGGATCGGCTACTCTCTATCCAGAGCCTTAGGACTGTGCAGAATTAGGAGCTAGGTGGTGCTATGGATAGAGCCCTGGGCCTGGAGTCAGGAAGACTTGAGTTCAGATTTGACCTCAGGCATCCACTAGCTGTGTGATCCTGTTCAAGCCACTTCACCCTGTTTGCCTCAGTTTTCTCATCTGTAAAATGAGCTGGAGAAGGAAACAGTGAAGCACTCCAGTATCTTGGTCAAGAAAAACCAGTTGGGGTCATGAAGAATTGGACATGACTGAAACAACAAAAACAACAAATTCCTGCATGACTAGAAGAACTGCATCTCAGAGCTGAAGGGACCTCAGAAGCCACCGTCCAATCTGTGTCCAACCAAGAATCCCCTTTCAATAGCAGGTACCCCAGGCAGTGAGGTAGTGCAATGGATAAAGCACTGGCCCTGGAGTCAGGAGGACCTGAGTTCAAATCCGGCCTCAGACATATAACACTCACTAGCTGTGTGACTCTGGGCAAGTCACTTAACCCCAATTGCCTCACCAAAAAAAAAAATTGTGGATACCCCAACAAATAGCCTTTCACACTGTGTTCACACCCCTTCCTTCCCTGGGCAGGGAAGGGAAGAATCTACTCCTGGCAACATCTCATTCCACTTTTGGACACCTCAGATTGTTAAGAAGTTTTCCCTCAAGTTGACACTGTTTTTACCTCTTCAAAATTTCTTTGTTTTATTTTTAGGCAGTTGGGGTTCAATGACTTGCCCAGGGTCACACAGCTAGCAAGTGTCAAGTGTTTGGTCTGAGGCCAGATCTCTTCAAAATTTCTACCCATTGCTCCTATCTTTGGGGATGAGGATTGAGCAAATTTCATGCCTCTTCCATATGGCAGCCCTCCAGATCCTTGGAGACAGCTACCATATTGCCCATGAGTCTTTTTTTTTTTTCCTTTCCAGGCTAAATACTCCTACTTCCTTCAACCCATTCTCTTATGGCTTAAATGTGAGGTCCTTTCCTGTCCTGGTTGTCTTCATCTGTACCCTCTCCAACGTCCTTCCTGAAATGTGGCAACCGAGTCCTGAGGACTTAGGATGGGCACCATTCCAACTGCCATTACTTTTAGGCAGGTCTTCACTACCACACACCTGGACTGTAATTGCCTCCCACCTACCCTGTACCTCTGCTGAAACTTGTATGGATATCAGTTGGAAAAAAGTTATTTTTTGAGGGAACGGTGACCTGCAATGTCATTGTTGTAAAGGACTTCCAGTGAGACAATTCCCTCTATCAACACAGATTAGCCATTGTTCTACAACTTACAGTCTTAGAAGGGAGCATAGGGAGCCTCAGGATGACACCATTTGCCCACCGTCACGCAGAGTACGTAGTAGAGGTTGGGCTCTAACCCATGCCTTCTTGATTATTCAGAAGGCGGCCCTTGACCCACCATCAAAATGCCTCTCATTTTGATATCATGTTCAATTTCAATTCAACACATTTTTTTAAAAGCATGGACATGAATATAAACTCATTTGTAAAACTTTAGGAAGAGCAATGATGGACAGTTATGAGCAGCCTTGTTTCCTCTAGCAGAAATAGTGAAAGGTAGAGAAAGTTTGTCAAGAGCTCCAACTAAGCCCTCAGCACAATGCTTGGCACACAGTAGGGACTGAGTGAATGTTTATCGACTGACTCAGAGCATTCAAGAATGAAAATGGAAGGACGGCAAACAGAGGAAAGGTGGAAAAGATCTGCCGGGACTTTTATAACAAAATTTTCCCTATCACATGAGAGCCACCAACCACCACTGGGCTCTAATGTTGCCATCCCAGACATTTATAGAAGAGGTATAAAGAACACCAAAGAGAACACCTGCAAGGAAACACGACAGGTTTGACTAAGCGCACATAGTGGAGATCACCCAATCGTCGGGGTGCTGAGGAACCCATTCACAAAGTATCCAAAGGATGAGTTTTGGGGAGGGAAGGAGAGAAGGCATGTTATGGTCAAAGACAGCATGACACGATCACAGATCTTAGGATCACAGCTTTAGAGCTGGAGGTCAGACCCTTCATATTATAGATGAGGAAACTGAGGCATAGGCAAATTAAATGACTTGCCTAAGGCTATACGGTTGAGTGTCAGAGGTGGGATTAGAAACTAGGCCTCCAGGACTCCAAGCCCCAGGCTGCATTTAATCACTGTGCCTGGGGATACTCATTAGCATGAGATAGGAAAGAATGAAGATTGAATGATAAGGGATTAATTAAAGGCTCTTTCACATGCAAAGAGAAGGAGGAAATGGACGGATTCAGAGGGAACCTTGTGCTGGATCCTTCCACCATTTTCCAAAGCACTGAGCTACCAAGCCTTCCAAACCATCCCACATCCTGTCTCCAATGCGATTTGGAGGCACTTTAATTTCTTCCAGAACCCCAGCTTGCTTCAAGGCCCCCTTCTCTACTGAGTAAATCTGAGGGAGAGGAAGATGGAGGGGAGGAGCAAAGCCTGCCGGGAGAGTGGTCCTGCTCCCTGGTGCTTTACTGAACTCCTTCTTCTCCTATTCCATTTCCATGACATCACCCAGTTGCCCCTGCCCCATCCTGGCAGCAGCATGTGGAGGGCATGGGGGAGGGGATGGAGGCTGGCTCCCTTCCCGAGCCCGGAGCAGCTCAGGAATTTGTGTTATGAGGAGGCCGGGAGAGCTCTGCTCTCTCCCCAGGCCCGCCCCCCCCCGCCCCCCCGCCCCCCCCCTCCCCCGCGCACAGTCGGTGGGGACACAGGCAGCTGTCCGGGGCGCTCAGCATTCGTCTCCTTTGCAAGGACAGTTCCTCCTGTTCTGGTTTCATCGCCTGCCAAGGCTGAAAGGTTTGTTTTGTTGTGGGCTTGGCTGGTACAGAGGTAACCAGGATCCAGGATGAGGGAGGTCAGAGCACATTCCTGTGAAAGTCAAATGTCCCTTTCACCCTGCAAAGTCTGTCGTTCTAAAGATCAGCAATACAGCATTAAAAAATACGCAGAAAGAAGTCGAGCGGGGGACTCAAACAGGGCAGTTTTGTTACCACCTTGCTAAATTGAATATGTGCTTTCAAAAAAGCCAGATGTGCACTAGCAGAAGCTTAAAGTTTCCTACGCAATCCGTTCATTTTTGATTTTTGTATATTGGGACATTTGTGTTGCAATAAATACCTAATCAATACTAAGCAACTATTAAGCACCTACTATGACCAGGCACTGAGGATAGAGGGCTGAAAATGTTTATCAACGGAAAGTAAGTTTGTAATAAAAAAAATCTTATTGTGCTAGGGAGAATCACAGAATACTTTCTATTAAGGATTTATTCTTGCCACTTATTTCCCGATTCCCCTGCCAAGCCACAGTGGTGGCAGTGGAGTATGTGAAGGGGGGGGTGGGAGATGGTGGCATACGTGGAGGGTGGTGGTGGAAGGTGGCGGTTGGAACCTAGGACCCTTCCGTGGCCCACCCCCCGTCAGTTCACATTTTCTCCAGTTCTCTGCTGTTGATGACCTGAAAAAGATGGCTCTTTTGAACTCCTATGGGACATCTTCCTCAGCTGAAAGCCTCCAACTATTCCATTTTTAAAGGTCTCCAGAGAAAGAGATTCTACAACT